ACTCAAAAATTCCTACTTTACTCAAGTTGTTTAAATTTAAACAAAATATATATATATTTGGTTATCATAAACTCAAGAATTGCATTTTTTGAAAATAAAAAGAAAATGAAAAAATATGAACCATAATAATAATAATAAATTAGTTTAAATTATGTATACCAAATAATAAAATATACTACATTACAATATAATTTAATTCAAAGTGTGATAAAAAAATATGTAATTATATAATATTTCAGACTTATTGCATGCTATAATTTATATATATATTAACTAAATAATGCTTAAATTTAATTTAAATTAATGAATTTTAGGGGTGAGTAGAGGATATACCGATCCGCCAAAACTGAACGAACCAAACCGATCCGCCGCATTTTAGACGGATGCGTGATGACGAGCGGACGGTTGCGGATTGATTTTCTCCAATCCGCCAATTTGATGGACGGATGGCGGATTTGAAGTTCCTTTGGCTGCAACCGAACCGCCAAACCACGAGCACTCTTAGTAATTTATAAAACTTTGTTTTTTAATTTGTTTAAATATTTTGTTTATGTTTTCAATTGAAAAAAAATTTAAATATTCTGTTGAAAAAAAGTTTCAACTTGAATATATTTTTTGAATTGAAAAAAAAATAAGGAAAAAGCTTCGGACCCGCAGTGGGGGTACTGGGGTCACATGTGATTGGTCCAAAAAAAAAAAATTTTTTTTTTTTTTAATGTTTTCCACCAACCCCATGCTGCCACGTCACTGGGGGTGCGACCCCCACTAGGGGTCCGAAACACGGCTCAAAAAATAAACGTATTATTTATCTATATTTTTTTATTTTTAAATCTAACTCTAAAAGTAATAAATAGAAAATATGAAATATGCTGGTTGATTTTTATTTTCAAAAACATATATAAATGTCACGCCTTAAAATTTGGACAATTAAATATTAAATTAGGACTAACCCCAATCAATATTCCATCATCCAAATCCTAGGGGTGAAACAAAAAAACTAAACGCCAACCAAACCATCCACCACAATTTCATAACTATCAAATACCTCCAATATTAAAGTAGCAACAACTAGTCCAAACAACTTAAATAAAGTACGGTTACAAATTATTCCAATACTAAAGCCATATAAAAAAATACATAAATTAGTATCAACCCTAAGCTCAAGAAAATAAAAGAAATCCAAACGACATGTCCTACGATCACAGTTATTTCTTGTCACCACCATAGCCTCAACTAATCCTGCAAATGAAACTCGGCTGCGTTCAAACAGAACGCACCCGAGTTGCCAAAAGACAAAACGGGTCAATATACAGGTATACTGGTATGAGTACAAGATTTAACACCCACGTGTCCACCAGACACAGACAAAAATACATTTAATTCTTATCACGGGACGAGACAAGTAGTTCCAGTCGTACCGAGACGAATGGGTAGTTTTCCGAGATACGGTGACATTTAGTTTCTTATCCGTACACAACGAAATATAAATTGATTATAAAATAGACAAAATAGAAATAAAAATATGGTTGGTCAGCCCTGCATAAAAAGTTAGTAAGACCCACCATCCTAAAAAACAAATAAAGTTAGTATAATTTAATCATAAATAACTTGTTGAAAAAAAATATAAAATTACACCGTTTCATACTTAAATAATTCGAATTGATCAAAACTCAAAGAACGAAAGTTGTGCAGAATCAAATTTCCTAAAACATAGCGCCAGCGAATTTAACAAAAACCGAACAGGTTAATAGAAAAACTTGATATAAAAATCTAAACAGAATTCAATCGAAAAATTTGAAGTCGAAAACGAACCAAAACTGCCCTAAGATGGTTTTTTTCAAACAATTTCAAAACACGAAAAGTGTGCAGAATAATGTTTTACTTCAGTTTGCGCGAAACCAATAAAAATGAGCTCGTTTCGTGGGTTAAAACAACCTCTAAAATCTGCCTTGCTAAAATGAATCAAACCGACAATAATCAAGATCATCCGATTATAAGTTCTAATCGATCTTTTTATTAAAAAGCTAAAACACAAAAGTTGTCCAAAATCATGTATATATGCCCTCAAATTTCATAATTTATCGAGATCGTTTACTATTTTTTTATATCACACTATACTAATAAATTTATAATTAAATTCTTTATTCCTTAACTTCATTACTTCGGCCCTCCCCTTCCGGTCTACACATATATCCCATGTGCCTCCCATATACCTAACACCGCTCCGAAGCCAAACTTGCACGGGAATATCGTTCCGAGTTTGACTCACACTCCCCGGATGGTTAGCATATATGTACGCACGCAAATCAAAGCACTCGTCTACTCATGAGAACGAGGCAACAACATATATATACACAACATCTCACACATGAGAATAAACATAACAATGCCGAGCCTAAGGCATTCAAATAAATCTCATAATCCTCACTTTTTTTATACACTCTTTCTCACCATCACTCAAATAAAACAACAATCCATGGAGTCATGGTGGAGTATAAGGAATTTATCTATATTTTCTTCATTAATTTTAATTTCATATAACCATGAGTGTAATTACAATCATAAAATAAATTCATATGAAAATCCTAAACATGGCATACACAACTAATCAAACTAATTAAAATCAATTCATCATCTACATGCAAATACAAAATCAATCCAACATCAAATAAAAATAAATAAGTAAATAAAAACAATGAATCAATCCATCATCTAACCAATATCTATGGATTCTAAATTTATTTTAATTTTATATAATCATGAGTGCGATTACAATTATAAAATCAATCCATATAAAAACCATAAATCTTGCATATACAACTAATCAAAATAATTAAAATCAATCAATCATCTAAAAATCTTAATCCTTACATACAAACTAAACAAAAAAATTAAATTTAATCAATCATCTAAAAATCCTAAACTTTACCTACACAACCAATCAAAGTAATTAAAATCAATACTTATCTAAGAACCCTAAACTTTACATATACTACTAGTCAAAATAATTAAAATCAATCTATCATCTATAAATCCTAAATCTTATACACTACAAGAAAAGTGGGTTTATGAGACGGAACTATTTGCGACGGCACACTTGCCGTCTCAAAAAGTCACTTTTTGCGACGGCAAAAAATACCGTCTCAAAAAAGCAGAGTATTTGCGACGGCACCATTTGCCGTCTCAAAAAAGCAGAGATTAATTAAAATCAATCACTTATCTAAGAACCCTAAACTTTACATACTCTACTAGTCAAAATAATTAAAATTAATCTATCATCTATAAATCCTAAATCTTATATCCACAACTAATCAAAATAATTAAAATTAATCTATCATCTTTATATAAAACAAAATCAAACTAACATCAAATAAATAAAAATAAATAAATAAATAAAACAACGAATTAAACATAAATCAAGAAAAGTGAGTTTTGTACTCACAATATTTTTTTAAAGATGCAAAAAATATTTAGAAAACTAATGAAACCATCAAAATAAAACCCTAATTTTTTTTTTCTCCTCTCCACTTCTTCCATGCCGTCTCTCTCTTCTCTCTCTCTCTCTTTCTTTCTTTCTTTTTTTTTTTCTCTCTCTCTCTCTCAGTTTCCGCTGCGCCTCCGATTCACTTTTCTTTGATTGACTAATCTATTTTTTAACCTAATACACCATTATATACTATTATATTATATAATACATTATAATATATATAAATATAAATATAAGATTAAATATATATAAATATCTATATATAACACCTCTTTTTTTTTATATAACAAATATAAATATATAAATATTTAGATTAATTATATATAATTAAATAACACATTAAATTAATTAATAATCACATTAAATTCATTAAATAACACATTAAATTTTCATGTGACCACACAATTAATAAAGCCAAAAAAAATAAGATAATAATAACCATAATAATAAAAAAATAATGACTTAAGAAAATTAGAGTCGCTACAATAAATGTAACAATACAGAGATATACAATCTGTACTACTGCTCTGTTCATGGTTTTGATGGTTTGAACTATTTTTATATTTTAAGAACCACATATTGTAATACTTTATGTGTGTAAGATATGCTGTGATTGTAATATGTAAATGAGTGAACATTGAGTAATGAAAAAAAAAATTAATTAATTTTATAATATATCTTTATTAAAATTACTCTGATCTCTTTATTTCATTTCTAAACGGTTGACTCCTTATATTTAGGGCAAATTACATATACACCCCTCTAGGTTTGACAAAATTACAGATACCCCCCTGAGGTTTGAGAAATTACGAATTCCCCCCTGAATGCTATATTTGCATAAGAAATTAGGGGGTAATTTGTTATGAAATATAAACCTCAGGGGGTAAATTGTTATGAAAATACAAACCTCAGGGGGCGGGATGTAATTTCCGAAACCTCAGGGGGGTATCTGTAATTTAACCAAACCTGGAGGGGTGTATATGTAATTTGCCCTAAAAATTTATAAAATTTCAAACCGCCAAAACCAATTCACATCCATCTGCCAAACCGTCAATCCGCTCAATCCACATCCGCCGAATTGACAGATGGATGCGAATTGATTTTCTCCAATCCACCAATCTGGCGAACGAATGACGGATTGGAAGTTTCATGGCCGCAACCAACCCGCGTCCACCCCTAATGAATTCTACTTTAAATCCTTATTAAATCTAAAATTATACAATTCAAACTTCAGAAATTTCGCGTTAAACTCAGCTCATTAATATTAGAGAGGTTGAAAAAATAAGAAAAAATCTAATACACACTATTTTAAAAATGATATATCATACGCGTATGTTATTTTTTTTTTTTTAGTTATATTATTTTTATTATGATTCATAAAATTTGTAATCATATATTATATTATTTTTAATCATAATAATTTGTTTTATATAATTATGACTTAAAAAATTAAAATTATATTATTTTTTATTTTAGTTGTATAAGGTGCATGTAAAGTGTGCCACAGCGTTTCCAAATGACAGATAGGGTTGTCTACACTCGGGACGTTAGAAGAGGCGTGTAAACCCACCCCACCAGTTTTTCTACCAAATCTTTGTATCTGCTCTCAGCGCTGTCTCAACCCAGGCGTAAAAAGCTCTCCGATCTCTCTCTAGAGCTTCATCGCCATGTCTCAGGTAAATCAATCATCTTCTTCACCTTTCAATTCTCTCTCTCTCTCTCTCTCTCTCTCTCTCTATATCTTTGTATTTTGGAAATTAGGTTTATATATATATAAATATGTTATGGAAATTAGATTTTATTGAATGTGTAAGTTGTGGATTTTCTGATTTTTTGATTGATGTGAACAAATTAGGTTTCAACGTATGCGAACGGTGCGATCAAATTTATATATGCTTATATTTGTATATGCGCGAGTAACATGATTCGATTCATCGATTTTTAGGTGGATAACAGGAATTCTTCAGCGGCAAAGCGAGCTCGAACTGACGGTATGCTTATTTCTCTATCCTGTCTTGTATATGTGTGTATATGCATGCATATATTTGCATCTGTGTATTTACATTTACTCTTCAGTTGCAGATTCGTTAGGGTTAAAGAAATTGCTTTAGTTGCCTTTATTGCTTCATTGTAATTCTATGAGAATAATGAGATACAAATAGAAAATGTTATACATAAATTTTATATAGAATGATGTATCAAATTTTTATTCATTAATTACAAATCAAAAGACTCTGAAAAGGCTTTGTATTTCGAACTGCAATTGACACATCATTCTAGTGAATTTTTTATTTTGTTTTTGGGTGCAAAAATTGCTGTTTTCAAATCATGGACAATTGCCTCATGGCTTATTCATTCATTTTGGTTTCAAATGAATTAATATAATTTTGATTTGACATGTCATTTTGTATGAAATTTGTGTATTACTTTTATGTTTGTATATTATTACTCATTCTATAATTATATGAGAATACGTTATTCACGGATGTGTGTGAATCAATTATTGGATAGTCAATTATATAATGACACCTCACCAAAAATGGTATCCAACTAATCGTCACTCATGTGTATACACCTTAACTCATCAGATCATTATGCTTTTCTTTTTCTCTCCTTCTTCTTCCCTCCCAAGCGATCATTGACAACCGCCACCACACGAACCAGTCATCAGAGCAACCCAACACTATCTTGGCCATGACAATTTTCTTCACCAGTGGAACATAGAAGTCGTTCATTACCGTATGTAATTTCAAGTGAAGCTTGGGAAGTTTGAGATTCATCTCCACTGAAGAACCAAGAACTAACTGTCCCTTTTAAGCCTACTGGCAAGACTCAAATCTTGGATTGAAATCGATTTGCAAACCAAAAACCTATTTCTATTGCAGTCTACACACAGGGAGGGTGTGGTGGGAATTGGGGGTGGGATCGTCTATTGGGGGTATTGTTCTTATTGTCTATGTTGATGAGGAGGGAGATAGCGGTGCAGTCGGTGGTGGGGAGAGAGGAAGTGGGAGGGAGGGTGGTGGTCAATTGTGACATAGGCGGGGTGGTCAGTGGGAACAGAGCAAAAGAGAAGGAGAGAAAATTTGTTTTCCTACAACACAATAATGTATTTGGGTGTAAAATATTAGTGAGATTTGTTTGAGTAGTCAAATTTTAGTTGATTGTACATAAGCATACTGCTTTACGAGACAACCTTAAGGAATTTAATCTCTAATTATATAGATACTATCATTTAGACAATAGTCGGACACGTAAGCTGTGTTAGAATACTTATTTTTGTTCTTTTATTCTCTTTTTAATATTTGCTTAAGTTGGGGGTACGATGGTCATATTGCTATGTTAGGGATTGTATATATATTTGACTGATGTAAAGTTGAGGCACAATGATTATTCAATATATATAAAATTTATCTTTCTTCTACTTCTTCTTCCTCCTCCTAAATCCCAACACTAAATTCCTTCATTTTACATTTTAACTTGGTATCAAAGCAATCTATTCTTCATCAAAAAGGTTTCTACAGACTCTGAAGATCGATCTGAGGTGACCGAGATGTGCTGATGTCATCAGTCATACGAAGACGTTAGGATTGTACGGACAGGTCCTTCACCCCTAGACTCAAAATTTCCTCCTGAGATTTATGGTGATTTTTGTAGAATTTTTTGATCATCACTGATGTGGTTTTTCAATTTTTGAAAGTATTTCATATTTTTTTGGACTGTTTTTCAAATTTGCTATTGGGATTGCTTTTTGCTGTTTTTTCTTGTTGGAATCTCTACCCTAGGAGCCGAAAATACCAACCCTAGGGGTCCTTGATCTTAATTTGTGGTTTTGCTACTATGGGGTTGATGTTTTGTTCGATTATTGCTTATTTCTGGTCCAACAACACTGTTTTCTTAATGTTGCATACACATCTCTCTATTCTTTGATATATCCCACATCTCCTTTTCCCTTGCCTCCTCACATTTTTGGTTGTGTGACTATTGTCCATGTTCTTGACCCTGGTTTGGATAAGTTATCTCCTCGAGCACGCAAGTGTGTGTTCTTATGTTATCCTCGCACTCAAAAAGGGTATCGGTGTTATCATCTTGAGTCACATTGCTACTTTGTCAGTGCTGATGTTACCTTTTTTTAGTCTACTCTGTTTTTTCTTCCTCTGGGCAACAGTTATCTATTGATCTTCTCTCTTCTCGTGAGGGGGAGCCAGTCTCTCTCAGTCCTATTCTTCCCTCTTATGCTCCTTCCACATCCATTCCTATATCCTTTCCATCTTCTCTCGTTTCTACCCCTCCTTTGCAAGTTTATCAACGGTTTCAAGCTCGTCGCATTGTGTCTTATGGCCCGACAAGTTCATCTCCTTCATCTAAGGCCTCTATTCCACTTGCTGATATGCCATCTTATGACCTTCTTTTTGCACTCCGCAAAGGTAAACGAACTTGCACTCAACATCCTATTGCTCATTTCGTTTCTTATGATCATCTCTCTCCTGGTCTTCGCTCTTTTGCTTGTAGCTTGTTTAGTATTTCCATTCCCCGCACCTATCAGCAAGCTATGTCCATCTCTGGTTGGAAGCATGCCATGGATGAGGAAATGCATGCTCTTCATTAGAATCAGACGTGGGTACTTACCCATTTGCCGTCTGGCAAATCTATTGTGGGTTGTCGTTGGATTTATACTATTAAGTATCTTCCTGATGGAACTGTTGAGCGACTTAAGGCTCGCTCGCCTGGTAGCTAAAGGCTACACCCAGACCTATAGTATTGATTACTTGGAATCCTTCTCTCCTGTGGCTCATCTTAACTCTATTCGGATTCTTCTCTCTGTTGCCGTTAATCAGTCTTGGCCTTTATATCAACTTGATATTAAGAATGCCTTTCTTCATGGTGATCTCCAAAAGGAGGTCTATATGGACCAGCCCCCTGGCTGTGTTGCTCCTAGTCAAGAGCATCTTGTTTGTCGATTGCGGAATGCCTTGTATGATCTTAAGCAGTCCCCTCGTACCTGGTTTGATCGCTTCAGTGCTATTGTGCTTGCCTATGAATTTCACCGTTCCACCTTTGATCATTCTGTTTTTGTTCGCCATTCGTCTATTGGGGGTATTGTTCTTATTGTCTATGTTGATGACATCATCATTTCAGGGAGTAACTCCAATGGTATTGCTGATTTGAAGCAGTATTTGGAACAACAATTTCACACCAAACACTTGGGTCATCTTTGGTATTTTCTTGGGATTGAAGTTGTCTGCTCTTCTCAGGGCTTGTTTCTTTCTTAATGGAGGTATGTTCTTGATCTTCTTACTGAGACTGGCCTCTTAAGCACTCGCCCCAGTGATACTCCTATGGTTTCTGGTGTCAAGCTTAATGGTGACACTGGATACTTATTTCCCGATATTGATCGTTATCGTCGGTTGGTTGGGAAGTTAATATATCTCACTGTCACTCGTCCAGATATTACCTATGCCGTGGGTGTAGTCAGTCAATTTATGCATGCTCTCCGCCAACCTCATTTTGTGGCTGTGTGTTGTATCTTACAATACTTGAAGCGTGCTCCAAGTTGGGGTTTGCTCTATCGCCCATCTTCTTCTTTGTCTGTCACTGGCTTTAGTGATGCTGATTGGGCTGGTAATAAAACTGACCGCCATTCCACCTCGGGGTATTGTACTTTTGTTGATGGTAATCTTGTTACTTGGCGTAGCAAGAAACAGACTGTAGTTGCTCGTTCTAGTGTCGAGGTTGAATATCGTGCCATGGACCATGCTGCTTCTGAGATGCTCTGGGTTCAGTCTCTTCTCAAAGATTTTGACTTTTCTATTTCCACTCCTATGAGCATGTCTTGTGACAATCAGGTTGCTATTTTCATTACCAATAATCCTGCGTTTCATGAACGCACCAAACATATCGAAGTTGATTGTCATTTTATTCGTGATATCTTACTCCACAAGCAACTTGTGACTCCTTATGTTCGTTCTACCGATCAATTGGGTGATATTCTAACCAAGCCTTTGGCTCGGCCTTCGTTTCATCGTTTATCCGTCAAGCTGGGCATGTTCGATCTTTATGCTCCATCTTGAGGGGGAATGTTAAAATACTTATTTTTTGTTCTTTTGTTCCCTAGTTAATATTTACTTAAGTTGAGGGTATAATGGACATATTGCTATGTTAGGATTTGTATATATATTTGATTGATGTAAAGTTGAGGCACAATGATTATATAATATATATATAAAATCTCTCTTTCTTCTTCTTCTTCCTCCTAAATCCCAACCCTAAATTCCTTCATTTTACATTCTAAGTAGCTGCATAGTAGCTTTTTCTTCTTTGCATCCTAAAATGTCTTGTCTTAATTGTTGGATAAATATATTCAAAAAAAGAAAAGAAACCTGTTTTTCCCTAATAATATTGGTAAGATTTTCCTGGAGGCACATATCCCAACTCCTGATCAAATTGTAGAAATGGGAAAGGTTCTGTTTTGATGCTGATTCATACGCAAGCAAAACCTTTGTTTGTGCACTAGATTTTTTTCATGTTTTTTGCTTAGGTCTGTGTGGTGCTTGTTATCATGCTTTGTGAAATTGACTCCTGAAAGCTGGAATAATTATCAATTTTTTTTACTCCTTATATCAATAATTGGCTCTGATATATCTCATTTCAGAAGTTATGATTGCGACCCATTTGTTAATCCCTTTATGTTTGTAGGCAGTCGCAGGGAAGATGACTGGACCTGCCCTAGCTGTGGAAATGTCAATTTTTCATTTAGGACGACTTGCAATATGCGCAACTGTACTCAATCGAGGCCAGCAGATCACAACTCAGTAAGATCTGAAATTCGATGTGATATTAACCACCCATGAATCAGTTAACTCACTTAAAGTTCCTTGTAGGAGTTGTGTAGAGATTCATGTTATAATATGCACGTGTCATTTTTTATGAGTACTTTAATTTTGCATATTTATCCAGATGTGTTATTTAATAGGAAACTTAATGCTTTCACAGTGTTCTTTGTAAGTTTAAGAGTTCTCTTTTAAGTCACAGCAGATTACAACTCAGTAAGATCTGAAATTCGATGTGATATTAACCACCCATGAATCAGTTAACTCACTTAAAGTTCCTTATAGGAGTTGTGTAGAGATTCATGTTATAATATGCACGTGTCATTTTTTATGAGTACTTTAATTTTGCATATTTATCCAGATCTGTTATTTAATAGGAAACTTAATGCTTTCACAGTGTTCTTTGTAAGTTTAAAAGTTCTCTTTTAAGTCACAATGGCAGACATGTTAATTATATGTGTGAACATTACCCTGAATGTATTTATGAGGTCTTTTAGTTATATCTGGCTTGTTGGTTGCTTTAATTCTCATTAATGTCCTGTCTGGTCGCAGTTTTCATTTTATCAGCTCTTCAGTCTGTATATATTTTCATCACATCATCCTTGCTTGCCATCTTCATTTTGTTTTATCATGGTTGATCAACATGTTTCATTGTTTGGTGGTGTTTTGCAGCTAATTTATTTTTTCTTCTGTCTACTGTATTATTGAATTCTTTAAACCAATTTTTTTTTCTTATGGTTCAGAAATCTGCTGCAAAACCCATACAACCCATGCATGGCTACTCATCCTCAGCTCCCTATGTAGGCACTGGTGCACCCTCCTCGATGTATATGGGTGTGCCACCTTATGGATCTTCTCTCTTCAATGGATCATCTATGTCTCCATATGATATTCCATTTTCTGGGGGTTCTGCCTATCCTTACAACTACAGCAGCCGCCTTTCTGGAGGCAGCCCGTATAGACCCCTGCATATAGCTGGTCCAACACCTTATTCTAGTGGATCTATGATGGGAAATGGTACGTGTTTCTCTTGTGCTTCTTATTGGTTGCATGATTTAAAAAAAAATTTACTATAAAGCCTGTTTTCTTTGTATCAGTTTCTAATTACCTTTTATATTCCGCTTACATGGTTAACTATTCTGTCATTATGCATCCCTTTATCTACTCTACTTTTTTCCTCAGAGGTAATTTTTGTGAATCTTTATCTCTTTTTATAGGCTTATACCCATCCACCCATATATGCAAGAAAAGGGTGATTTGTAGTATTAGAATTTTTTAGGGCTTATTGAGCATATAAAGATATGATAATCGGCTTATGATTCTTGAAGGCTAGCGCATTCTACAGTCTTTCTCATTCAGTATCTTCAGCTAATGCCCATTTGGTCTCTTTTTCTATTCTTCTTTTTTTTTTCTTTTTTTTTTTTGAGATTTGCATTTGGCTTTTGTTTTGGTGTAGCATTTATGAGGTTATGTTTTTATTTATTATTATTTTTGTTTGTTTTAGGTGGGATGTACAGTATGCCACCCCTGATGGACCGCTATGGCTTGGGTATGGGTATGGCCATGGGCCATGCTGGCATGGTATGTGCAAAATGTCCATGTCTAGTGCTGTTTACTCATTAATTTATTTGCAAGGAAGCATAGTGCTACAAAATAACGTACATGATGCCTGCATAATCATGTTTAAGTTGGCAAATATTTTCAAAACCATACTCTTTCTCTATGTAATGGTTTGGGAAAATTTTCTCTGAACTCCTCCCCTTCACTACGTAGGTTCCCATTATTTGTTTTGGTACCATGAATTATTGAAAGCTCTCTCACCTCTCAGTATATTTTCTTGTATTAGATGTTTGGTGGAACAAGCTCATGACTGAATTTTTTTTCTGCAGGGCCCAAGGCCTGGATTTTTTCCAGATGATAAATATCAAAAGAAAGGTGCAGATTTTGCCATATCTAGGCTGTTTTTGAACTTCTGACCAATGATTTGACTTGATGCTATCTCTTTATGTACTGACTTGTATCTGTGTGTCTTCGAACACACCTGTAGATGGAACGCGTGATAACGACTGGACATGTCCTAAATGTGGAAATGTCAACTTCTCTTTTAGAACAGTTTGCAATATGAGGAAGTGCAATACTCCAAAGCCCGGACCTCAGGTTTGAGCTACTTTCATTTCTAGATTTTACTCGACATTTACAATGTCGGGTATTATAGCTTGCTCTTTGTCATTTTGGATGCTGAATTTGGAAATTTCTTCATTACGTTGTGTCATCATCCTGTTAGTTTAGAAAAATTTCCTTTGATGTTTGTTTAAAGTTTCGTTGGTTTGAAATATTACTTTGCTGAATATGCAGGCTGCGAAATCTGATTCCAATTCTAGTAAGTCCTTTTAAACCTACCTTGTGGTTGGCTGCTATTTCTTAGCACGATACTTATAGATCTCGTCTTTCAGAACACAAGATGCCCGATGGGAGCTGGAAGTGTGAGAAATGCAATAACATAAACTACCCTTTTAGGACCAAATGTAACAGACAAAACTGTGGGGCTGATAAACCATCTGAGGGACAGAAATCCCCTTCAGAACCAGCTGATGAAAACGATCAGGTCTGTCATGAGATACATTTACTTACTATGTCCATTTGTTGCTTGAAATTTCCATTAAGATTGTTAACCATCTATGTGTATAGCACAAACAAAAAAAGTATTAAAGTTCATGATATATCTTTAGTTAATGATCTTTTGGCGGAACTACTATTTTTCCCTCTTGCTCGTCTTCGTTAGATCTTGTAGTGGTTGCATCTGTGATTTTCCTATTTTGATATTGCTGCTTCTACCTCCTTGAGCATTTATTAATTTTGTAATTGTCTAATTTTCCAGTGAGTTCTATAGGAAATGTTTGTGGGTTGAGAAAGGTCCAGAGTCGTCGTCGTCCGGCTATGCTCATTATGGGTGTCCGAAAGTCAGTCATGTCGTCGTCGTCGTCGTATTGCCGCACTTGTCAAGTTTATTCTGCCTTCTCATGATCTGTGTCGAGTTGTATTAATAAACTGGGATTTGGTATTTGTGGTCTAGTATGGATCTTCTTTATTCATATTATGCATTGTGTCTGCCAGTTTTGTCTGGTAAGAATTTTAAGGGAGGTTATCGTTACTTTTTAAGACAGGATTTTGCCTATCTGTTTTAGTGGGTTTGTTGACAAATATGCATAAGATTGAGCTATATAGGCTATATATAAACTGTATATAATTGTAGGTCTTAACTGCATTCTTCCTCTTTTAGGATTATAATTAGGGATCTGTATCTTACAAAATGTGGGGACTAGGAAAGTGTAGTCAGTCGACTAAGTTGGGTGTGACAATTGTTTTTTTTGGTAGTTTTTTTTTTCCTCCCTTTTTTAAAATCTTAAAAGGCTTGTGTTTAATAATTGTTAAAGAAGTTTCTTTTTGTTAGGGAGAGTTTTGTAGGTATTTTCAAACTTATATTTTATAGTGAGAAATTATCATATTATCGTTGTGTTGTTGTGGAGCTCTATTTAACATAACCAGGGAGACGGTGGAATTTCTTGAAGTATGGAGGGTAAAATTTTCTTTTAATGATTTTGTTAATGATTTTGTTAATGTTTTTATATGAAGTTGATTTTTTGAGTCAAACCAAACAAGCTGCTTACTTGTGGGTTTTTTAGTTAAAAAATTACTTATTTAGATATTGTCAAACAGAGAAGACAAAGGCCCAGTAAACTAAACTAGTTTCGGGATTTTAAAGCCAGATGGATGTATATAAGCTGAATTGTTAGATGCTGAGTATTTTGCATTAAAACAAAAAAATTCCAGGGGTAGAATGGTAAAATAAAAAAATAAAAAAAAAAGGGGCTTAACATCTCTGAATATGGACGTGTTTGCCAATCTCAGCTTATAAATAGGATATCAATTATCAGTTAAAATAAATAAATAAAAATGCTTTCCTTCCAATTGCTTTAATTATTTAGACTAGGCTGCCAAGTTTGTTCGGTTTGAGGTTTAAGCTCGTTATAGACTTAGTGGGGCCTCGTTATACTGTGGTCGTCTCAGGGTTTGGTTTTGAAGCTTTAAAGATACGTTTGACTAGTTGGGCTTGGATCATTAATTTCGAATAACGAAAAGGAGCGGATCAGTTAGAACCACAGTTTTGTATAGCCGATCAGTTAGAACCACAATTGCCAAATGCTGGACGGAAGAAGCATGGAAGAGGTCCCGGCAGGAAAACTGAGGAAGAAGCATGGAAGAGGTCCCGGCAGGAAAACTGAATCTCGAAGGTCCCGTCAAATTTGCATCTGTTGTTGGAGTGCTGACATTTTCTGTCTTTTCTTCCTTTTTTCTTTACAAAGATGGGTGAAAATGTTGGGCTCGTTTGGTTTGATTTTCTGAAAAAAATTTGGAAAATTTTCTCTACAAATAAGTTTTCAAAAATAACCAAACCAAACAAATTTTCGAAAAGGAGCGGATCAGTTAGAACCACAGTTTTGTATAGCCGATCAGTTAGAACCACAATTGCCAAATGCTGGACGGAAGAAGCATGGAAGAGGTCCCGGCAGGAAAACTGAATCTCGAAGGTCCCGTCAAATTTGCATCTGTTGTTGGAGTGCTGACATTTTCTGTCTTTTCTTCCTTTTTTCTTTACAAAGATGGGTGAAAATGTTATCTTTTGGTGTTTGGTATGATAATAAATTAATTTGGGAGTAAAAAATGTTTTCATACTAAAATTTACCTTGCTGCTTCCTCCACCACTAAATATACAAAACCAATTTTATGAAAAATATTTAACTAGAAAATGATTTTTGCCAAAACAGGGGAGGGAATGGGAGGGGACTATTGGCTTGATTGGTATATTCTATTTATTTATTTACTAAATATAATAACCCAATTTTAAAATAAAAAGTAATAACAAAACAAGACTGGTTAATTGAAAATGCTGCTTAATTCAATGATGGAACATACTTCAGATAGATATTTCACCATATTTTCTGCTTTGTACGTGCCAGATTGGGCTGGCAATAATAAAATTAATTATCTAGCATTTCGGAAACACTGGCCATTTCCACCAAATTTTGAAGAAGATTAACAACAACTATGAACACACGAGTACTAAAAACTGAATTGGCACACAGCCAGGCTGCAACTTAAACAACAAATGATATGCTACTATAAAATTAATTAAATAAAAAAATTTTTAAAAAAAATTATGTTCTCGGGTATTAGAAAGGAAAAGGGACAAACCAAAGCGAGAAAGATTTGCCTTAATTTTGTTTGATTTGGTTAGGAAAATGCAAAGAAAATAAATAGATATTTCCAAAAGAATAATTCAAGATTCTTTTGGTATTTGTAATTTGTATATAATGAGTAGAATCAATAATAATGTTATAACTAATATTGGTACACTAGTTAATATACTAACTGGTGCATGCAAAACCACAATTTCTAAAAATATAATCACTCTTACATTAAAGAACAAACAAGCAATTTCATTTCCTTTGTCTTCCTTTTCCTCAACAAACCCAACATCCAAAAACAGAATACAACACAGTAGGTATGTCACCACAAAATAATGCCTGCCAGTTTTCAATGTGTCCATAGGCATTAAATTAGATAATATGATAAAAAATGAAAGACCGGCGGGTATCATCAGGAACAGTTGGTAAACCTAACCTCCATAACTTCAACATTGCTTCAAGTTGTACAAAACCAACAGCTCAAAATTCAAAAAGTTTTTAATTCTTGTATTTAAACGACAAGAACTCAGTTAGGCTGTCTCGAAAGCATTAAGGGGCCATTCTGTGGCTAAATCTTTACCATGAACCCCCAGGGATCAATAACACTACATTTCTTGAAGCAAATATTACTAGTTGACAGTTAAAATGGTTTCGACCAAATGGTTCATTTCCATTTTCAAAATATCTTAAAACATTAAAAATATACGGATCTCAGAGAGCCTAACCTTGTTAGGAAGGAAGTGACTGAATGGATTCCAGTTCAGTTCATCAGATTTGGATAAAGGGCACTTTCATACGGTGATTTAAGGAGTTGGATTTCATGGAACTGGCTGCCATCGTTTGTGGTCAATGGGTGAATGTGTCGGGGATCGGTAGAGTGTTGCTCAGTCTGCCAATAGTCTGATGAAGATAGTGGCAAACCTTGGGGGACTCCATGGATCATGGGCTGAGGCATGGTCGTAAGATTTACATGAATGGGGTGGTCGAGTGCAATGTTTGCTGGCTCTGAGCCCCAAGAATTGGTTGACAGAAGAGAGAGAGCACGATGATCTGGCGCTGCATCCAAATTGGAAGAGAGACCTGCCAAAGTGAAAGTCAGACAGACAGTGAAAGGAAAAGAATTCCCCAAACTCGTACTTGCTCAAGGACCTCACTCAGGTCTCATGAGAATGCAAAATGATGTTTGGAGAGGATTTTCGGACACTATATAATGAATGATAAGTATAAAATATTCATGAAATGTTTTGGCTGAAAACAGCTTTTCTTCTTTTTTAGGTACTACAACCTTATTTCATAAAATAAAGGTTCTCTTTCACAACAAAAACTTCATCAATAGCATGGGGCTATTCAGTCATTTGGAAATGTCATATTAAAATTGAGAGTTGATCTGAAGTGGGATGAAAACTTTCCAGAGGTATAAGAGCACCAAAAACATTTCCTATGGCCGCCTTTTGAAATTTTCCATAGTCACAGAAGAAATTATTGAGAACCTTGAGTCAAGTTATGCAAAAATATATATATACACCCATTGCACTCACATTTGTTCATTATCATCCTCGAACCACAATAATATTAAATCGGTCAAGGTTACCGAGTGGTTTTCATTAAAAAGTTCTTCAACATACTATCACTATATATGAGTCTTATGTTGTAATTTCAACATTACTTCAATACCATTCAATCCCAATTTCTGGCAGTACAGCAAATAAGAAGAGCAACTTTACTCATTTTTCAATTCATTTGCTATCAAGATTATTTGTCACTATAAATAGGGCTGAGCAAGGAATTTGTAAAATCGGCAAACCGAACCAGTCCAGTCCAGTCCAATCCGGTAGGTTTGGATTGGATTTTTGAATCCGTGGTTCGATTTTAAATTGGAAAATTGAGAAACCATTCCCCTCGGATCAGTTCCGGATTTCACTTCACAGTTCCGGATTGGAATTGATCTGAACCGTACGCAACTTAGACTATATTCATACCATACACCCTTGTTTTTTATTGCTATTGTTGTGTTATTTTTTAATTTTAGTTTTGTAATGGTATAATGGTGGAACCCGTTTCAGTTTTTGTTTTTAAATTTGGCAATGGTGGTTGTTATTGTTGTTGTGGAACTAGATATTATGTTTGTTTAAATTAATAGTGGAACTATATTAATGTTTATGTTGTGAAAAATTATGGGCAGATTAATGTTGAAATAAAAATATTATAAGATTTTTCTTTATTTATAGATTATATGAATCCACGGTTCCAAACCGAGCCGAACCATGTTTAAATGGTTTGATTTGAATTGGTCCCACGATTTAAATGAATTGGATTGGTTCCAATTTTTACAAAACCATATACAACGGATTAATCCTGATTTTACCCCAAACTGAACCATGCTCACCTCTAACTCTAAATGCTTTCAAATTCTATCATACTTGGCTTTCCTTTTGCTAATTCTTAAAAACAATTATATGATCCCTCACCCTTTTCTTGTTCAAAGCTTTATAAAAGGCCATCCGTCTTATAGTTCCTATTTCACCTCAGCTATTCTCTTTTGCAGTACCAAAATTTCAGTAAACACTCTCTCAAGTTTACACCTTCCATCAGAGGTCACCAAGAGTTGTCCAATTGTATTAATTATCGTTAACTGTGGATCACTAAAGTTTAGGCCACTTCTATGGCTCACCACGTGTCATAATATAATTCAAAATGCTCAATGGTAGTCCTATTGAAATCAATATCACTTCTCACTCAGGCTGGTTTGGTGCGTCAAAAGGTAATTTACTTAGGTTTAGACTCAAATTCAAAATGGCTATTCAACTCAATCCAACTTTCATCTATTTGCCACAAATTTCAATAAAACCTTAATCTTTGCCTTGGCTAAATACTTTTTAATTTTAACATGTTTCCCTACTCTAGTTTTATCAACCAAAAAATTATTAAACTAAAAATACACAAATAATGTATTTTTACAAATACACACGTAAATGCATCCATAGTCAATCAGAAAGATGAAACTTGAATGCCAATTCAAGAAAACAACGTCAAGATTTTCTGGCAATAATGATAATTGTGGCAGTACCAGTAGTTACCGCCATAGTAGGGGTGGTAACAGTCAGCCATGTTGGACACAAGCACCCAATGGGGGTGATCAATTGTGAATACAAAGCAATGGTAGACATTATTATTGATACAACAGCAATTAAAGCCCAAAGATAGATATATTTAATGCCATTGCACATTCAATCCCTTAAGCGTGTAGTGTTGTGAGTTTGAAACTAAATACCATAGGCCAATCATGCCCAAAATCAATTACACCATATCTGTAGACCCAAGTATAGTTCCATAAGTTTCCTATTCGTTGGTGAGTCATCTTAAGCTTGTCTTTTATGTTTACTTTATATTAGAATGCCAGCTTTGGTTCTTCAACCTAGTCACTTGCAGTATCTAAATTCTAAAATCTCTTGAAAATCCAAGATAAATGAAGTCTATAGTTTCCAAATAAAATAAAATAACAAAAAGGTCAATATTTTCCCTCTAGTTTACTAAAAGCATCCAGCAACTTAGTGCATGATTACTGGTAACAAGGTCTATGATATGTCAAAGTCAATAAAAATATCCACAAACCCAACCTCAAAAGAGTTTTCATAAAATCTTGTTTTCCAGAGATGAACGAGGTAAAGACATTAGATTAATGGGATGGAAATATGACTGTCATATATCTTTCAGGCTGAAGGTCGGTATGTGATATGGAATCACGTAAAAAGGCCAAGTAAAAAAAAAATGGGGTTAGCCAAATCATCAGTTGCATGTTAAATTAGTGCCCTCCAGGAATCTGTTAAGTTCATACATTTTCGCCAACAGAAAGATTTCAGACATTCTGACACTGAATAATGTTCCATCATTTTAGTTCACCATATTAAGTTTGGTTTGTGCAGCAGTGGATAATTCCTATGGGAAATTTAACACTATTATCAAAAAACTCAACTCTGCCAGAAGTATCACGTTAAACAATTTATTAAAGGACTCAATTTCCTGTGGAGAGAGCAAGACGAACCTTGAGTGAAAATTTCAGCTTTGGAGCCCTTGGATGGAAAGAGCCTATTGGAATTCTGGCCATGCATACTGATGGCATGTGGCAGCTCAGTGCCTCGCAATTGCAGCTGCCCATCAATGCCTCCATTTTTCTCAGATTTCAGCAGATACCCTTCAGTTAGTGTGAACTTGGGGTTGCATGTGCTTTCCCATGTAGGATTTGCAGAAGATCTTGTGTGAACAAGCGGCGCATTGTTCAATACAAAACTCATCTGTTGCCTCCCATCTGTACATGTAAAAGCATATCGTCTCAAACTAAATGCATAGGTACAGTGCAGAACATACTAATGATTATTTAATTTTGATACTTCAATCCATCTTCAAATATTCTCCCATAAAACAGAATTCAAAAACTTCATAATATATGGGTTTAATTGAACAACTGGAAAATATCACTATCCAAGTAAGCACAATCAAATAAATTAATATAAGGATATAATACTTGCAATCATCTAATCATATGCTTATTCAATACATTGAGTATTGACCATCTCCAAGTTTTTTTTTTTTTTCCGAGTCAGAGTTATGACTTTTGTTTTTGCATATACATAATAATCAATATGTCACACATGATAGATATGTAAGCTATTTAATATATTAGGAGAAAACAAAAGATGTCGGAGAAATCTACTTTACTTTCTCAACTTCAACATGTTCATTTTTATAAAATGAACATGCATCAGTGCATGTTCATTACTATAAGCAAATGAGTGCATCAGTGCATGCATCCCTTGTGATAGAATAAAATTTCATGAACAGAATGGAAATTGAGACATCACACATCACAATTTCTAAAGAAAATCATGGCATAAATGTTTCATCTTCTAAATTATTAGGTAGAGAACAAGATCTCAAAACTAAAAAATAGCTACATGTTTAAATGCAGCTACTCAAAGTCAACACTAACAGGAAGCAACCGGCTCAAAGTCTAAGTAAAAATCAATACCCAAAAATGATGAAGGTAGCCTTGTCGAATTAAACTGGTTCACATCTTGTTGTGGCTTACGGCGCCGTGCATTATGATCTGAAAGCCGCCTACGACAGCTTCGCTTCTTTTCGTCAAATTCTGACAAACTGTGGAACCTTCAAAACCGCAAACAAGCCATTGTTGTGTCAAAATCGTTCATCATAAGCTAGGAGGAGGACTTTAGGCAGAGTAGAATGAATCTACAATAATTATTCAATACAACCGACAAAGATTTCAGGAAGATTTAAATTACTGAATACCCAATAGACGACAACATCAAGACATGAATGCAACGTAACTATCAGTCTAAATGATGTAGGCGAGGAAAACCATAAGCAGTCAACAATTCTAAATTAAGAAACAAAGCATAATTGTATTCCTGTTTTCCTTGAGTCCCATTCAGAGTTTACCTGCTACATTGTTGGCAAAACCGACGTTCTAGACCACCTACAACCACCTTTGGGCATTTGGAATGACTTTCACAAACTCTATGCTTGCGATGATAGTCTTTAGCTGATGAGAGATCAAGGCTGCAACCTTCAACTTGGCAGCGTGGGGGAGGCGTACTTTGACAAGATGATTTGATTTTCTTTGCTGTAGTGGCAGCAGATGATGCAGGAATCGCGGAGAACGATGAAGTCTTAGTGTTGCCTCCAGTACAATTGTTTTCAAAATACGTCCGCTTACCTAGTTTCAGACCAATCAACGGTTCACCAGAGCCAACTGAAGACTCCAGTGGTGGAGAAGTTCCAGCTAGCTCAGCTCTAGCCAATTCATTCTTCTTGCTAAAATCTCCAGTAAAACCATGAAATACCTCAAAAGCATTCCTGGATGCTTTCATTACCTCCTTTGATGAAGAATCAGTAGAAGCTGATATTGAGCTCCTTGCAGAAGAACCATGTGCCAATTCAGAACCAGAACCACCACCTCCACCTCCAGATAGATTAAAAGACACCATGTCAATTTCTCCCTCTTCAATTCCCCAGTCAGTTGGTTGCTTCTTAGGACTTTCAATGGATTTTGAATTGAACATGACTAGGTTTTCCCAGTCCCACTTAGAATTCCAATCCATTGCAGGGAGAGAATTCATGAATCAATTTCACTCAATCTTCTTCTCCATAGAATCCACAAGCAACTGGGTAATCAGATCTGCGTTAATTGGCAAAAGTTCACTCAAAATTAGTTTAGGTGGAATGACATCTGGCATAAAAATTCTACAAAAAAAACAAAAATACACAAAATTGATCACCCAAGAGGTACAAATAAAAAACAAACAAGAACAAAATTAAATTGTTCAGATTCTAGAAAGATTGGATTACAAGATATGCAAGGGGATGTGTAAGCCATCATTCATCAAGAACAAAGCCAAACCTTTAAGACTTGGTCCATGAATCGGCAGATCTGTATCAGAAGATTAATGTGTTGCAGAATGCAACCAAAATATTTCCTTTCAAAAAAATAGTACCACTTGTTCTATTCTCCACACACAGACATACAGAGAGAGAGAGAGAGAGAGAGATATATAGAGAGTCTAAGGCAGAGAAATCATGTATCAAGCAGTTTGGTTTAGCTCTGAATATGAGCATACAAGTGGGTATTCTAAGCCAACATCCAATTGAAATCCAAACAATATGCATAAAACTCACTACTCTGCTATTTCTCCATTTTTCATATTGCAGGGTTTGACTCGGAAGTATAGCATGTTACCATTCAGACTACCCACAGATCTTAAAAATCTAAAATTACAATTGGGTCATAGTAAAAACAATAAACTTTCCCCAAGTTCCTACAGCAACTGTGGTAAATTTTACTCTCCACTTATGTCCTCGGCCCCCACCAATTTCTACCAAAAAGACTGTAACAATCACCCACCTGAATTTAACCACTCTCTATTCCACAAAGTCTCTCTCTCTCTTCAATTATTTCAGGGGAGACTAGAAATGTCTCACTTTTTACTGCCACATGCATATAAACTGTAATTCTATGGTTTTAGTTGCAAGAATAAGAAAACAACACGAGTGTGATTGAATTAGAGCCAGCAGTTGGGGTCAAAGAATGTTCAAACAAATTACACGAAGCACATATATCCTCAATCTAAGCCACATGTTTCTAACCCATTAAACCTCTAATAAATCAAACTATCAACAGTGTATGAAAAAGGAATTCTGAGCCTTTGCTCTCATAGTCATCAAACATCACTGTCAACGACCTTCCCACCTAATCAAGACACTAAATCAATCGCCAAATTGCCTTAACTTAAGCACAAAATAAATGTTCCATTGATGATTGATCAAACAATACACAAAAAATGAATAAATAAATTGCTTTTCTCGTGTCTAAGCATTTACCACGAACTTTCATAGGGAGAAAATCATGAGAAACTCGTTTTTTCCGTCAGAAATAACCGACATAAAACACCATTATTGGCAAAGCTGTGGTCTCCTTTCTAGGGTTTCATTAGATTTAACCACCAGAGAAGAGAAAATCCTTTCCGTTTTCACGAGAAAACGACATCGTTTGCCTCGATTAAACTTCTCCTCGCCATTTTCCCGAGAAAATAGTAAAGAAAAATAAGTTGAAGGAGAAAGAGAAAAGAATAATTTCCATTTACGAAAGTAGAAATTAACATTTTTGGAGGGATTCAGAAATTGATGTATCAAGTGCCAACCTAATTAGGAAAATGAGCAGATGTCTCTCCGAAATCAGGAAAAAAAACAACAACAACAACAAAGACCACCAACAACAACTTTTTTAATGCAATCAAGTTGATTCCTCTACACTATGCTCTCAATAATTATTTTTCTTTTAGGGTTCATAGTAACAGTAAAGTTGAGCAAAAGTAAACAAAATCGTAACCAGAAATAACCTCGAAACAGCTTCGCTCTCCTTTTTCCATCTTCTTTTCTCTCCAAATTCCGAGAAAATATCAAGGAAAATAAATAAAATTAAAATAAAAAAAAAACGAAGGCTTTAACTTGGTTTGGTATGCGTATAGCTTACCGATTCACAAACACTCGAACATTTTCCAAGAAAAGCTGGGAAAATCGGATGGTTTACACTTTACCAAATCGAGAAAGTTGAGTGTGAGAGAGAGAAAAGGAGGTTAGAGAGAGAGAGAGAGAGAGAGAGCTGTGTGAGCTGTGTTTTTCGCAGAGTGGTGTGAAAAGCGTGGGAAGTGGGGCTGAGGGTGGGCCAGGGCAATGGAGAGAGAAAGGGTGGGGGCTGTGATCATGGGCTGAGTCTGCACAATAATGCCTATCTTAGAGCATCTCGAACGGTTACTCAGATTTTTCATCAAATTTGAGTCAAAAATGACTCATTTTACTAATTTGATACCGCTCGCTCCAACGGTGTACTTTCATCAAATTTGTGCCAGGGACAACCGGTTGGTCGACCGGCCGGTCGACCGGTTAAGAGAAAATTTTTTTTTTTTTTTTGAACTTTTTTTGAACTTTTTGAACCTTTTAGTGGTCGACCGGCTGGTCAACCGGCTGGTCGACCGGTTAGGCAAAAAAATTTTTTTTTTTTTTTTTTTTTTACTGTTTGAACCTTTTTCTTCGAACCGTTTGAACCTTTAGGCGGTCAACCGGTTGGTCAACCGGCCGGGCAACCGGCTGGTTGACCGGTTGGTCTCTCCCAACGGTTAGGAACAGTGATTTGGTAAAATGCTTCGCCTGTTCTCGTTTTAGTACAAGATTTGCTGAATTCTGGATTTGATATTGATTTGGTGAAACCATTGGAGCTCAAAAAAGTGACTTTTTCACCAAATTTTGAATTTGATATCAGGTTTACTGAAGCGTTGGAGATGGTCTTAAGAAATTGATTATAATTCATTTATCAGATTGTAACTCATTTTTTTTATAAAAAAACTGTTTATAAGTTGTTTATAAACAATTTTTTACTAAAAAATTAATTATAACTATCTTCTCAAAATAATTCTAAGAGCTGGTTTGGAGTTTTTTCGTTTTATTTTTGATTAAAACAGTCATAAAATAATAAAATAAGTTAAAAAATTAATAAAATAAAATATTACCAAATTATAATTATTTTATTTTTTTCACAAAATTTAAACAAGTCAAAAAAATCTATTCCAAATTAGACTTTTTAATTCCTAACTAAAATAATTAAAAAAATTAAAAAATTAACCCACATCTCAAACGAAACCTAAATAATAAATACAAGAATTTATTGGTTGGCTTGGAGTATCGTCACGTAGTAGTTATTTGAAATGTGTTATATAAGTGCAATTTTTGACTTTTTGGTTAAAAAAGTATAAAAAAAATATATATTTGGGATAATTTTTTAACTTTTTACGAAAATATATTTAATAAAATATTGTAGTAAAATCAAAATGATCATTTTACCCTTTTGACTTTTTGACTTTTTGAATAATTGAATTCAAACGAAAAAATAATAATTTTGCCCTAGTGACTTCCCCACAAGCTACCCTTAAATAGTATAGACTTTTTAATTTTTTTAAATAATTTTTTGATTTTTTTAGTTTACTCCAAACAAGACTTTAATATCTCAATGACCATGGGATTGCTGGAGGAAATGGGACTCCCAAATTTGTGTTGAGTGACTAAAAAAAATGAAAAGACGTGAAAAATTGTGATCGGTGAAGGAATATAATTACACGACGTTTTAAGATCAACCAATAATTTTTTGATAAATGAACTTTCAAAATTTGATAGTCTCCTTGTGAAATAATTATTAAATATTTCCAAATATTAAGACAGTGTTTATATTTTTAAAATTATTAATTTAAAGTAGTTATAAATAAATTATAAATTTATTTGGTATAATTTTTCATAATCTGTAACAAAAATTATAAAAATATAAAAAATAAAAAAACTGAATCACCTTGGTGAATAAGCTGCGGTGTAACTTTTTTATTATACAAATATCTACAATGTCTTTAAACTATTCTAAAAAGTTTTAAACAATTATAATTAAAACAAAAGAAATACTCAGATTATTTTGTCCATATATATTTAGGTGTTATGAGAAAATATAGCCCAGTGGGGATCAGATATTACAAATACATGGAAAATTTTAGAATTATAATTATTAATGTTTGGAAAACTTTAGAATTATAATTATTAATGTTTACAAAGTTTTTAACTAATGTGCAATTTTTATTTTATTTTTTACTTTTACACTGAATTGTTATTTACTCTTATAAATAAGCTATAAGAATTAATATATATATATATATATAGCTTAAGAAAATGTTATATATTTTTTTATCAGATAAGTTGAAAAAATAAAGTAAATTATAATATGAAATAACAATCAAACACCGGTAATTAATTTTCTTTTGAGCAAATAAATTAAATAAATTGAAGGACAGTTTTTGAGTATGCAAGGCATACGGTATGCCATTTACACACTTTTTTGAGAATTTACAACCCGTTTTATGGGTTAACCTATTGAAATTTGTATTAAATTACGTGATTCTGCAAAATGATTTACATATACTTGTGAGAACATACGTCAATATGTGATTTTTCAATTTTTTATGAATTAATTTAGCCTCCGTTTGGGAAGTGGGTTGGTTTTTTGGTTTTTTTTGCTATTTTAACCTGGGTTTAAAAGCTTGGTTTTTTGAGAAGTGGGAAGGACTTTTTGGTTTTTTTGCTTTTTTGGGAAGTGGGAAGGGCTTTTTGACTTTTTGGCTTTTTTGAGTTTTTTTGTGAGAGAATAATGTAATGATTATGGGTTAGATGTGATGTTTTGTTTGTTAGGACTAAAATAGTCTATTTTATTTTTTGTAGCTAAAATAACCAAAAAAGCCAAAACCATGGCTTCCCAAACGAAGCCTTATATACATTTGTGTTTAAGCTATATAACATGTTTGCGAGAATTTACGCTAAATTACATATGGAATGCAACCACTTGCATATGGTTGTACACTCAAACACTTCCCTTATCACTTAAGAATGCTACATTTGTCTTCTAAGCCTCCTTTTGGAAAGTGGGTTAGTTTTTTGACTTTTTAACTTTTTTAACTATTTGAGCCTGGACTCAAAAGCTTGGTTTGCGAAGAACTTTTTGACTTTTTGATTTTTTTGACTTTTTTTGTGAGAGAAGAGTGTAATGATTATGGGTTTGATGTGATATTTTGTCTGTTGTGGCTCAAATAGCCTATTCTGTCTTTTGTGACTCAAAGAGCCAAATGAACCCTTCCCAAATGAACCCTAACTACTCATCAAAAGTAAATTAACATGTCTTAGGAACAAATTTTTTAGTTACATGATTCGTTTGCACACCACAAATAATACAGCATGATATTCTAAAATTGTTAAATAATTACTTGTGTTCGTGTTTCTTATTGAAACAATGGTTCTATGTACACAAAATATAATTATAAAACTTTCATGGGGGATGTGAGTTGATTTTTTTTATTTTTTTATTATTTTAGTTTGAGATTAAAAAATCTCGTTTAAAATGAATCTTTTAATTTTTTTGACTTTTATAAGAGAAAAAATAAAATGATTATGGCTTTGATGTGGCATTTTTGGATGGTTTGAGATGATCTAAATAAATGCACTTTTTTACTTTTTATGAAATATAGGCTGGGTATGAGTTGAGTTTGAAGTTGTTAGAAATTGGACGCCCTTATGGCATGACCC